GCTTCTTTTATCCATGCAATTTTTTTCCCCCCCTGGTCTTGCTAGATTTTAGTATCAAGGGTTCAAATGTCACCAGTGTCTTCTCTGTCATGTAAGTGAGTGTTACTGTGTTTTGTGTCTTATGGGCATTTTGTTTTACCTTTAAACAAAGCCAAACCTGGTGAAGTGTAAGAAGCTCCTTTTTTGAGTAAGTTTTTCTAATAGCCACTTTGGGTTTTTGCACTGAAAGGTCAGCTTCCTATTTTTGAACTTTGAAAGATTACCCAGCCCCAATTAGAAGTCTTCAAGTCTGTTCCTCTATGTGGGTTACTTTAAGACAATATAAACTGCTATTAATTTATCTTCCACTTGGTACTAAATAAATTGGATTTAAATGTCTCAGAGTTGTATATGCTTACAGCCTTGAAATCATGAAGCTGCATAGGAAAACTGGCTCTCATACATGTTTAGTTGCTAGGCTTTATTCAAGTGCTTAAAATCTAATTGATCATGAGAGCACTGCAGAGGAATTCACGTGCAGTAACACTGTATGAATTGCTTGGTGCAATCACAAAGTCTAATTTTGCCAATAATTAGTTCCCCTCTTGCATAGGACTTGGCCTTTGTGGTGGTCTGATGCATATAGAGCAGCTTAGGGTTTTTCTGTGTTAGAACACTGTAGCCTAATTACAGGGCTTATTATAGGCTGGGCGAGGAAATGTTTCAGATGTTCTGTGAGATACAGAAGATCAACATAGATAATATAATGATCTCTTCAGGCATTCATTCTTACGAAACTGTTCTGCTATAAATGGATCCTACTCTCTTAAGCCTTCCAGGGGTGCTGATATGTTATTTCCTGAGTGTCATTTCTTTCAGCTCTATTAATTTTCAGTAGTTTTTAACATCTGAGAAAGCAGAAGTTAGGAATTTCTGCCCATTGTAAAGTCTGATGGTTTCATAGCTTGCCTGTTTGTACTCTGACATTCTCTTGACATGTGAAGGTATGAATGGCAATATAAATCTATCTTAAACTTTGTATAAAACCTGTAAAATAAAAGTACGAAAAATCCCAACTGTGTGTGTGTTGAAATGTTTCTGATGATGGTAGATATTTAAAGGAAATGACCCATTAGTGCCAGAATCTATAATCTATTTGACCTTATGCAGTGTGGGCCTTTGCATATGTGAGGCTATTACACAGAGCTCTTCCCTGAAATTCAGTGCTTGCATCTGTGCACAAAACTTGGTCTGCTCAACCTTTCACAGATTTAATGAAAACTCTAGTCCTTCATATACAGCATGGCTTTATATTCCATACTGGTAATCAGAACGGGGTTTTTTGACTGAAAAGCAGGATTCAGCACACTTAATTTTCTGCTTTTCCCAGGATGGCCATTTCTGTTATTACTGCTGTTCAGTGGTTGAAAATTATTTTTATTTGATGCCTTTGCCAATAGTCGTTGTAATGTCGGTACTTTTTAACATTGCTGTAAGAAGAAAATTAGTTTCATCAAAATAATGAGGGTGAGGTGTTGCCCCATATTCACTTCACTTGTAGATGTGTGTGTAATGATTATATATGTGTGTACATTTCATTTTCATTTTCAAAATGACCTTTGTGCCTTCCTGCTATACTTGGCTTGGTTATTCTGTATTCTGGTGAGGATCAAAGCACAGTATAAGTTCAGTAAGACCAGCAGTGCACCTGGAGATGTGATGACTTGCAGTTCCTGTCGTACTCAGCTTCCAGGAATCAGCTGTCAAAAAGGGTTTCTGTACCTTGGAAAGAGAAATTGTGTATTTTGAACAACAGTTTTTATGAATCTTCAATTCTCACCTCTAGTTTTTATTTTTGAATGGATAACTTACCCAGTAGATGAGGGTTTTTTTTGCATCTTGCTTGTAAACCTCTTGAAAAATAGCTGCTATTTGTCAGACAGG